TAACTCTTGTTCTATAGGTGTCCTATTAAGGAATTTGGAGCCTGACCCCACAAGGTGGAGATTAGAGCCAACTTTTTCTTCTATCAGATGCAGAGTTTCTGGTTTGATCCCTAGCTCCTTAATCCATTTTGAGTTAACTTTTGTGCATGATGAGAGACGGGGATTCAATTTCGTTTTGTTGCATATGGATTTCCAGTTCTCCCAGCACCATTTGTTGAAGATGCTATCATTTCTCCATTGCATGCTTTTAGCACCTTTGTCTAATATAAGGTAGTTGCAATTTTGTGGATTGGTCTCTGTGTCCTCTATTCTGTATCATTGGTCTACCCGCCTATTTTGGTACCAGTACCATGCTGTTTTTGTTACTATTGTTCTGTAGTATAGTTTAAAATCTGGTATCACTGTACCGCCTGTTTCACTCTTCCTGCTTATAATTGCTTTTGCTATTCTGGGTCTCTTATTTTTCCAGATGAATTTCATGATTACTTTTTCTATTTCTGCAAGAAATGCTGTTGGGATTTTGATTGGCATTGCATTAAACCTATAGAGTACTTTTGGTAATATTGCCATTTTAATGATGTTAGTTCTGTCTATCCATGAACAGGGTATATTTTTCCATCTTCTAAGGTCTTCTTCTATTTCTCTCATTAGGGTTCTGTAGTTTTCATTGTATACGTCCTTCACCTCATCTTCTATGACTCAACTCAGACATCAGGTTTTGCAAAAAGCCTTTCCTGTAACGCTCTCAGAGTTTAGCTTGTTTATTTAATACTTGTATAGTGCTTATTTTGTGCCAGGACCTATTCTAAGCACATTTAATCCTCACAACAACTCTATGAATTAGTCTCTATTATTATCCCACTTTATAGATGAGGAAGTTGAGGCACATAGAGGTTTGGTTTAACATTCATGTAATTTTTAAGTGACAAATCCATACTTAAAACTGGGGCCATTTGGCTTTGGAGTCTATATCCATATTCTTTTTGTTTGTTCTAGAGAAGGGAGTTTTGTTTTGTTGCCCAGGCTGGTCTCAAACTCATGAGCTCAAGCAATCCTCCCTCCACAGGCTCCTGATCCATATATATATGGATCTCTCTGAGTTGCTTAGGGGTTCACTAAGTTGCTATGGCTAACTTTGAACTTGTGATTCTCCTGCCTCAGTCTCCCACGCTGTTGGGATTACAGGCATGTGCCACCATGCCTGGCTCATATGTTCTTAATGCATATGCTGTGCTGTTTTCCAAGGGCCCCTCCTCTGCATTCTTCCTCTGCATCCTCTATCTCAGCATTCAGATTAATAATTTGAAAATATCTTTTTGTATACATAGCAGTGTATAAAGAATGAAATCTCATGCTCTACCATGAGATTGTTTTTAAAATTTCTTTTTAGTTGTAGTTGGATACAATACAATTTTTTTATTTGTTTTTATTCTTATGTGGTGCTGAGGATCGAACCCAGCACCTCACAAGTGCTAGGTGAGCGCTGTACCACTGAGCCATAACCTCAGCCTCTACCATGAGATTCTTAAAGCAATGTAGTATATGATATAGAGACAAATATAAGTATAATGGTTAATATTATAGAATTTAAAATTGGGTAGTCCTGGGGTTATGTCTCATCTATGCTTTGTAACCTTAGGCATATTACTTAACCTTTCTATGACTAGTGTTTTCTTTTTTTTTCCATTTAAAGTGGTGCTAAGAATACCTCACTGGAAGGAATTAAATGGGATGATGTATCTAAAGCACCTGGCAGAGTGTAAGAAATTCTTGGTAATGCCTGACAATTACAACTAGAGATATCTCTGCATCTCTAGTAACCAGTATGGTGCCTAGGGAGCAGACATTCAAAAATTATTTGTTGAACTGAACTATTATGGAAATATTTAGAATGACAGAGATATCTAAGTATATCTGAGTATGTATGACTTTAAAAATGATTACACTTGGAGACTGTGCTCTCTAAGCCTGCCTCCCCTGGAGACAGAGGAGCCCCAGGAGCCAATGTCAGCCCCCCAGAGCACCTGCTGCCCTGGTGCAAATAAAGAGAAGACTGGAGAGAAAAAAAATGATTACACTGTAATGAAATTAAGCAGGATGTGCTGTTTTACTTTGCTAGGGAACCTATATAAGTTTTACGTTTACAGGTCCCTCTTAGGCAGAGGCAAACAGCGACTGGCTCCTTCCAGCTGATCCGGATGAGAGAATGGTGGGTCAGTGTCCTCCTATGATGATGGGGTGATCAGTCTTGTTGGGGTGTCCTCGAATGCTTCCATAGGTGATCTCATGCTCTTGGTTTAAACTGGTGCTGGGCTCAACATTCACTTGTTACTCCCATGGATGTTTCTGGTTATGCCCAGGCGGTATACTCCAATGTTTAGCATGCTCCCTACTGATAGCTGTGGAACATATTGGAATATGCCATCCAGATATGTTCCTTCCATTATTGATATTCTCTTACCAAGAAACTTGCAGGGCCTCTAAGTTGACCCTATTACCCTCAGTGATCACTACTCAGAATTTTAGGTGGAGGAAGTGGAAGAAATCGAACTGAACATGTAATAATCCCCATCATGGCCTAAAATCTGGCAGTTTTATTAAAATTCTGATAGTTTATGTTGTCACTTTTCTTTTTTCCCTAAAAACTAGTGTATAACCCCTTTACATACATACTAAAAACAAGTTCTACTAGCTGAAGATTCTGGATTCTCAAGGGCTGAGGGAATTTGATATGTGGAAATGATGAATATAGTTATGTGTTTGGTCAGCCGAGGCTGACTGCAGAAGGTCTCCAGCCAGACTGTGGATTGGCAGGGGTTTCCATAATTGAGGAAGGGGGTCTGGATGTGGGCCAAAGAACACAGTGCACATAATAAACCAGGGTTGATGCTCGCTTCTGGTTTTATGGTCAGGGAAAGGCTGAGGCCGCCCTCTCTTTTTCTGTTCAAATGGTCCGAAACAAACCAAAAGGGTCCATAAACATGAAGGTTAAAAATGTTTCTCTCTAGCAAAGAGTAATGGCTTGGAGGGGGAAAAATGCTTTCTGATCCTGGTTCTGACTTGTTTGTAATCGTGGGCAGACCTTTCTCAGACCGTTTTTTCATCAGTAAGATATTTGTTCATGCTACTACACAGGGCTGGTTGAAGAATTGTAAGATTGTAAGATTGGTGAAATCTTACAAAGATCCATCAGAGATGTTACCGAAAAAAGTATTATTAAAATGTAGATGCCATGGGAAGAGAAAATACCTTTGGCCTTGTTAGTTTTTTATATTATTGGATAATAATGCCCAGGAAATGGGTGTCAAGTACAGGGAAGAGAAAAGATATTTTTCAAGAAATTAAGAAACCAAAGCTCAGAGAGCTTTAATCCCTTCCCATTTATTTAGCAGGGACCATGCCAAAGCTAAATGTTAATGACTTCACTGTTTTGCACCAAGATCCTGGAAACCTATTTGTATTTCTTTGAAAGTCCCTTTATGAATGACTCTACTGGTGAATCCAAGGATATTGGAAAGCTACTGAGGGGAATATTTTGGAGGTTGACAACTGATCTCAGATAAAAGTAGTTTAATCTGTGTCCCTTAATCCACATTGATCTCTGAGTGACTTGATAGCCCATTAAACTTACAGTGGATAAACCTTTTTGTTTTACTGTAAATCTTTCTACTTCTATAAATAGAGAATTCTAATAAAAATAAATTTATTCTGTGTACTTTGGTAAAACCTTGTAAATTTCCTTGGAATTCCGGGTTCCAGCACCACAGGGAACTTCCTCCAAGTTCATGGATTTCAGCACCAGCTGGCAGATAGTGCCACCTTTTCAGATTAGCTTTACAGTTCAAACAATTAGCAAACTCTTCCCCTCCCCTTACTCAATTCAGGGGTGATAGTTACTTCCTGCAGTTTTTATCCTTGTGAAAACTTGTAACAGCATTGTCTAATAAAAATGTGTATAACATACTGATTTTTACTTTTTTAGTAGTCACATTATCAAGTAAAAAGGAACCAGAGAGGGCTGGGGCTGTAGCTCAGTGGAAGAGTGCTTGCCTAGCATGTGAGGCACTGTAGTCAATCCTTAGCACCACATAAAAATAAATAAAATAATTTTGAAAAGGAACCAGAGAATTTAACAGCATTTTGTGTTTAGCCCAATATATCTGATATGCTTTCATTTCAGTATATAATCATCATAAAATCATTAGATATTTCTACATTGTTACATAAGGTCTTTGAAATAAGGTGTGTATTTTACACTTATAGCATAACTCAATTTGGATGATGAATTTTCACCAGAAATACTTTATCTGTATCTAGATTTCATGAATTTAGTTGAAAATATAGATTCTCCTATTGAAATTGTTCCAAACGTACTTAAAATTTTTTCCAGTAACTGAATTGTCAATTTTTAACTTTATATTTTGAAATAGATACATTAAGTTGAAAAACACAGATGGAGTCCATGTAACAATCAGCAGCTTCCCCCACTAATGACATCTTCCATTACTAAAGTGCATCATCAAAACCAGAAAATTGACATAACTGTAGATCTTAATCAGTTCATTTACCTGTGCATATCATTTTGTATGTCTTTGTGATCAGATGGCATTTTCCCAAGTGTAGTTATATAACCATCATCACCACTATAATCAAGAGAATAGTTTCATTGCTACAATATAAGTTCCTTATGATGCCCTTCTATTTCCACTTCCTCCCATCTCTATACCTAATCCAGGGTGGCCACTTATATGTGCTTCATCCCTATAATTTTGTTATTTTGAGGATGTTATACAAATAGAATGATGTATGCAGCTCCGCCCACCCCCTTTTTTGGCAGTGCTGGGCATGGAACCTAGGGTCATATGCATGTTAGACAAGTGGAGAAGACACGTGGGCTTCTTAGTTTGGCCTGTTATACACATCCCTTCTACTACCATTCCATTGACAAAGATTTATCATAGGACCCATCTAGATTCATTTTCTCAGTCAAGAAAACAGACTGCATTCTTAAACGTTTATTGTATCTTTCTTTGCTAGAAACAGAAACTAATTTTCTCTCTGACAAACTTTTTTCAGGGGAACAAAATAAATGCTTTCCCTCTTCCTCAGATATCAGTGTATAACAATCAGAGTATAGTAGAGGGCTTTTACATTGCGTAAACGATATAGCTAAGGTGATAGTTTTGGGATTTTCGCAGGTGGTTCATCTGAGTCAGTGCTACTATCGAAGATGTCATCATCATCATCATCATCTTCAAAATCTTCATAATCTTCAAAATCTTCTTCACCTTCATCTTCTAAAATAAAAAAAAATTGTTTTATAAGATTATGTTCACTAGTAGAAAGAAAGATAGCTAAATGATTACAATGAGACAATTTCACTTTAGGGATTAATAAAATCATGCATATTTTAGAGTAAAAAGACTTCAGGAATTTTAATATTTAAATCTTTCCTTTCTATCCCTTTCTTTTATGGAGATATAATTCACTTACAATAAACTCTTAAAGTGTATATTTCAGTGCTTTTTCAGAACTTTATTTAAATATTTACTTGCTTGTGCAACCACCATCACTAATTCTGGAATGCTTTCATTAATATCGAGAGAAATTCCATACTCATTAGCAGACATTTACCATTTCCCTTCAGCCCTTGAAACTAGTAATCTACTTTCTCAATGGATTTTCCTATTCTGGATATTTCATATATAGGGAATCATACAATATGTGGCTTTTTGTATCTGACTCACTGTTTTCAAGATCCATTCCTATTGTAGCATGTATCAATACTTTATTCCATTTTATTGCTAAGTAATATTCTATTGTGTGGACATACCACATTTTGCTTACACACTAACCAGTTAAAGGACATGTGCATTTTTTTACATTTTTTAGCTATTATGAATAATGCTACCACAAACATTAGTATACAGATTTTCAAGTAAACATGTTTTTCAGTTCTCTTAGGAGAATTAACAGTGGTACTTCTGGTATGGTAGCTTTATGTCAACATTTTTTTAAAAAATTGTTTAATTGTCAATGGATCTTTATTTTACTTATTTATATGTGGTGCTGAGAATTGAACCTAGTGTCTCACACATACTAGGCAAGTGACCTACCATTGAGCAACAGCCACAGCCCTATGTCAAGTTTTTAAGGAACTGCCGAACTGCTGTAGGTGGGTACACCATTTTACATTTCCACCACCAAGGTACAAGGTTCCGAATTCTTCACATATTACATAACACTTGTTATTGTGGTTTTTTTTTTTTAAATTAGAGCCAGCATCCACATTATCAAGAGGGAAACAAGGTGGAAATAGTTTACTCTCTTCTCTAGAATCCAGTATCTATCTAGTTCTTTTTTTTTTTTTTTTTTTTTTGTGGTGCTGGGGATTGAACTCAGAGCCTGTGCATGCAAGGCAAGCTCTCTACCAACTGAGCTATATCCTCATCCCTCGGGGGTTTGTTTTTTGTTTTATTTTGTTTTTAGCTCAGGGCAGTCAAAACTGCACCAACCTGTTTCTATATTCTCATTTCAGATTTTTTTAAGTTAAGAGAATTAAAACTTTATGATTCTACTTTCAAAATTCCTCCAGCAAAACTGGGATATAGGAAGAGTCCCCGGTCTTTAAGATATGTTAAACTGAAGTCTGCCCCCAATCTTTGGAATTTGTCCTATTGTTCCAAAGAATAGATTGTATTCTTTCAAACATGTTTGTAATTTCACACCTGGTAAAACTCCTTTTGCTTTTTCAATACCAAGCTCAAAAGTCAGCCCCCTCTAAAGAAGCCTTCCTGGGTTCTCTCAGCTTGGAATAGTTACAGAGAGCCCAAGTCACACATTTTTATTCTTTT